TCTGCAGAGTGGGAGCAGGCTGGAGCAAGCGACTCAAAAGCCCTGATTGCAATGTTCTTTAGGGTTTTTACGAAGCTAAAAGAATTTGGTAACACCCCTAGATACCCTTTAGAGGCCTCCAGTTGGTTACACTCTATGCAAATTAAGGATGGCCCGTGACCAATCAGAGGTATTTCTTGTTTGTGATGTAGGGGAAAGGGGGTTTTGTAGAGGGTGGGGTCTCTGATCAGTTGTCACTTGGGCATGGAGAGGTGGGGTGTTTCTTTTTGTTCAATTCCGAGAAGCCAGCATCAGGTTGGCTTTAGGCTTGCTGTCTCCAGGTCCTATTCTCCTGTCTCAGTGCTGGAGCAGGGAGTACCAATCGTGGGGAATTGATAGGTCCAAGGACGCAACTCTCCAGCCCATGCCGGGCGACGCCAAGCTTCATGAAGGGACAGGCACTGTCTGGGGGCCAGTGGCCTTGACCTCTGCAATCAGAGAGAGGTTGCTCACCTGCTAGCTACCTAAAGGACAGTCTCCCTTCCCCTGCTGCTGGCTCTATGGGACCATCGTGTCCGCGCTCCGTGAGCCATGGTCCCTGCTATCTTGGGGGTGTGTTCTACATGAAGGGACAACATGTCTAATTGTACAGCGTGAATAGAGAATTCGTCACACAGACCTATCCATTAAGTCTAAAGCATTCCTAAAAGCGTTCAGGATAATAAATCATCATTTGGTATTAAATGAAGAGGCAGCCTCTTTCTTAGAATGGCTGTTCCGTCGTAATCATGATAAATGGAAAATCCCAGACAGGTGAATTTTAATGGGCATCCAAGTGCACTCAGATTAATTAGATTACATTTTTAAAAAACTTTCCTCTTTTGCTCCATAAATCTAAATGGTGGCCTCTAAAAGATAATAACCATCCACACACTAAAATGCATTATGATGTCATAAAAGATTATTGATGCACATATGCAGTTAGACGTTATGTTGGATGTGGCAGAATGGCGTAAAACGTGGCCACAGCTGTTGTGAAGCGCGTGTTTGCCGACAGTGGTTAGTGGGACTCCCTGGTCAAAGTGTGCGAGGCGAGTGGATGGGAGAAGCTGAGTGCATTATTTCCACTTCCTAGTGGATCTCAAGTTAACAATATTTCCCTCCTGGCTCTTTGAAAGGCAGGGGGGTTTGATTAGAGACACACCAGCCACATCTGGCTCTGAAAGAGAGATACAGAATGCTGTTTTTAAATTTAATTTAATTTATTTATTTGGAGATGGAGTCTCGCTCTGTTGCCCCAACTGGAGTGCAGTGGCACCATCTCAGCTCACTGCAACCTCCATCCCCTGGGTTCAAGTGATTCCCCTGCCTTAGCCTCCCGAGTAGCTGGGACTACAGGCATGTGCCACCATGTCTGGCTAATTTTTGTGCTTTTAGCAGAGATGGGGTTTCACCATGTTGGTCAGTCTGATCTCAAACTCCTAACCTCAGGTAATCCATTTGCTTTGGCCTCCCAAAGTGCTGGAATTACAGGTGTGAGCCAACACGGCCCTACCCAGAATGTGTTTGACAGCCAAAAACAGAACCATGGGGTGGGGAAGAGCAGTATCCTCAGATAAGTCTTGGATTGAGGAGACATCAAGGTCCCCTTCAAGTCCTGCCTTCCTTTCCTGCCTCTGACCCTGAGTTTCTTATAATTTCCTTTTTATTCACTTCTATATTGAATTATGGATACATAATAGCTGCACCTGTTTATGGGGGTACAGGTGATATTTCAATACAAGCATACGATGTGTCGTGATCAGATAGGAACAACTGGGGTATCCATCGCCTCAAGCATCGATCACTTCTTTCTGTTAGGGACACTCCAATTTTATTCTTTCAGTTATTTTGAAATATACAATAAATTGATTTCTATGGTGAGAAAAGAAACGTTCTGCCATGGGGACACATACATCGCCTTTATGGAAATTTTAACATTTGGAAAGAGCTAAAAGGCAGACAAAGATCCCGAGGAAGGAGAAGAGGCATTGAGAGCTGTTAACCACACTCAGAGCCCATGAGGGTCACCAGCGTAAGAACCCTGTGCTGGGTCAGCGGCATCTCAGCTGGTCTCAAACCTCCTTGAGACACGCACCGCTGCCTGCTTGGATACGGTAGGAAAAGGAGGTTCAGCAAGAGAAAGTCATTGGCCAGATTTAGCAAATTCAAATCAGAGGACTCACTTAACTTTGGATTTTAGATGAACAATGGATAAGCTTTTAGTATGAGTATGCGCTATATGTGCAAAATTATTTGTTGTGTAACTGAAATTCAGATTTAGTTGGGTGCTTGTGTTTTACCTGGTAACTCTGGCCCACGGGCAAAGCCACATAGCTGTTCAGTGGCAGCATCAGGACTTAAATCCGCGCTGGTCTGGTCCTTTCTGTGGTTTTGCCCTAAATTTCCTGCTAACTGGTCATCAAACTACATATCGATGTTACTGTCTCTCATTAAATTGGGGCTGTGGTAGCGGCCATGCCAGCTTGACGTTCTTGTTGGCTGAGCACATCGTGGGGGTGAAACAACAAGGTCTCTGCTCTCAACGTGGTGTAGGACTGTCAAACGTGACACTGCGCTGCCTTCTGGGGCTCTGACGGAGAAGTCACCTGCATGCTGCCACCGCCTGAGACACAGCACATCCTGCGGCTGGAGGCAGTAAGAAGGAGTTGCTGTGATGTGGCCCAGGGCGTGCAGGGGCCAGCGTGTTCCCCTGGTCCCTGTCAGTGTCAGGTCACTGGAGTCCATGATCAGTGAAATTACCTTGTTTGGGGCCACTCTGTTTTTCTTTTTGAGATGAAGCCTTGCTCTGTCGCCCAGGCTGGAGTGCAGTGATGTCAGCTCACTGCAACCTTCAACCTACCAGGTTCAAGCGATTTTCCTGCCTCAGCCTCCTGAGTAGTAGCTGGGATTATAGGCACGAGCTACCACGCTCAGCTAATTTTTGTATTTTTAGTAGAGATGGGGTTTTACCATGTTGACCAGGCTGGCCTCCAACTCTTGACCTCAAGTGATCCTTCCTCCTCGGCCTCCCAAAATGCTGAGATTATAGGCGTGAACCACTGTGCCCGACCCAGCCACCCTGTGCTTAGCCCCTTCCCACTCACCAGCGTGCGTGTTCTTCCTCCAGGATACACCTATTCCTCCTCTGCTATCTTTGCTTTCTAACTTATCCAAACACCGCCAAATAAACCGTGTGTATCAGCTTTGAGACCAAACAATATTTGTTTCTCCTTGCCCCCGCCGTCCCCGCTTTCGGATTTGATACCATCTGCAAAGGACAAAATTCATCCTAGAAGGATCTTTAGAGTTCCTCCTGCATTCTCTCTGATCTGTGGCTCCTTGCAGCTCAGGGAATTATACCCCACTGTTCACATTTTCAACCAGTGAGGCAGGAATTTTCCTCAGAAAGCCTGGCTCAGTCAGGGACTGTGCATATTTAAAGACTGTAATTAAGGGACTGTCGGTCAGAATTCCCATTACAAGTGCTAGCTTTGAAGTTTCTGACTTGGACTTCTCAGCTCACAACACGTTTGGAAATGTGACATTTGGATGCATGGTTCAGAAAGATTCTGCAAAAAAGAGGGGGCCTCATTTTAGAACAGTAAACAGGGGTGATCTGAAACTTAGCTGACACGCAGGCAATGAAGAGAGCAGGACCCACTGTGGATTAAAGCCGAAAGAGCAGGCTGGAGACGTATCCCAGTTAGTGTAGCTACCTCTTGGGAGAAACGAGGTGGGACCACGGAGGCAAGGCACACCCCACACACCCCAACAATAACTTTTTTCTGGTTTCTTTCATTCAACTACCATTTACTTATCTTCCACTTGATCTTAGGCAAAAGGCCAAGAAGAGACCATTTGTCTTTAATTTGAGAAATTGCAAAGGCACAGAAAAACACATAGACTATGACTCCATTTATTCAATAAAGCCTTATTGAGAAAAAGATATAGATTCCCACTTAATTCTATTAAGCACTGTGTTGCATAATTTCTACAGTTCTGCGGTATTGACTGTAAATTTAGTTCTTATCTAGTTATCTTAGAATGACATGCACTTACTTTCACATGTGATGTTTACCTGGAAAAGAGTTCATAGAAACTGCCAGTAAGGGAGGAGACCCTGAATCACACTTAAGCATCTAAGACCATCCGCCCTCCTTGAGTTCCACACTGCATTTCAATAGGAGAAGTAAAGGCTGGCAGGCTGGGCTCCACCTTAATCACTCTCCTGTAGATAGTGCAGGCACGGTATGGAGGAATCTTTCCAGAAGGAAGGTATTGTTTTTACTTAAACAAGACCAGGCCGGGTGCGGTGGCTCAAGACTGTAATCCCAGCACTTTGGGAGGCCGAGGCGGGTGGATCACAAGGTCAAGAGATCGAGACCATCCTGGTCAACATGGTGAAACCCCGTCTCTATTAAAAATACAAAAAATTAGCTGGGCATGGTGGTGCGTGCCTGTAATCCCAGCTACTCAGGAGGCTGAGGCAGGAGAATTGCCTGAACCCAGGAGGCGGAGGTTGCGGTGAGCCGAGATCGCGCCATTGCACTCCAGCCTGGGTAACAAGAGCGAAACTCCGCCTCAAAAAAAAAAACAAAAAAAAACAAAAAAAAAAAAAAACAAGACCAAACCCAGCCTAAGTCACTATACCCGATGCCTACCCCACCGGCCCAAGACCCTTCCACATGTAAATTCTGGAGTTGTAAGCCCAAGACCCTTTCACCTGTAATTTCTAAAGCTGTAAACCCAAGGCCCTGTCACGTGTAATATCTAGAGTTGTAAGCCTTTATAAAGGCAGAGATTTCCTTTGTTAGACGAGCTTGGCTGTTAGCCAGCTATGCTGCCTTGCTCCCGGCCGAATAAATCACCCCTTTCCTTCCCAGTTTGGTGTTGGAGAGGTTTGTTTCCCGGCCTTTTCCTGCTTCACCAGCAGAGATTAATTTCTGATTTAAGCCTTAGGCTTGGATTGTTTGTTTCAGTTTGAGTTGGATGTACCATTCTACCTCTGATTTGGACCCTGGCAGCCCCTCTGTCTCCTGAAAAAAAGCCCTCACGCCTTTTCTTCCTGCACTCCAGACTTGGTCAGGTGAGAACAGAAGTGAAGGGTCAGGGTGGGCTTCTTTCTCTTTTCCACCTCCTGGAGCACGCTGCAACTTTTTCCTTTATTCATGAAAAACACACAATTTGCTATGAATCGTCTCACAGCAATTGAAGTCTGTTCAATTTGACAGACAGGCACTGTGCTGGGAATGGGGCAAAAAGAATGAATTCAATACAGACCCGACTGCGTGGCTGAATCGCACAGATGCTGCGCCGTGCAAATGAAAACAGACACGCAAGACCGTGCCCTAACTCAGTCCGTCCCAATGGAGCCCCACAGCCACCAACACCCAGCTCTGGCGTCAGGAGGGATCAGTGGTTGCCTCAGATGGGGTGTGAGGGCATTGACCTGGAAGGGGCGCAGAGGAGCTTTCTGGGGTGATGGGGCTGTTCTATATTTTGATGGCAGCTGTGGCCACATGAGTATAATCCATGGGTGAACATTTCTTGAAACACATCAAAATACACACTTAAATGGTTGCACCTCAGTGCATGCAAATTAAGCCTTGATAAATTATTGCGTGGACTAAATTTTTAACAATAGGGGGAAAAGCTTGTCCCCGAGGAACTGAAATCTCGTGAAGTCATGGAAAGGGCATTTTAGTTGGAGGAGCAGCCTGCACCTATTCCACCATCAGGCATTCATTACATACCTGCTATGTCCCAGGTCCTGAGGACAGAGACAGCAATGGAGAAGGAACACCTCCCCTTCCAGAACAGCTTCCCACCCAGTGGAAGAGAATGACCCGCGATGTGTGAATTGTACACCAGAGGGACAGCATGAGCAAGAGGACAGAGGACTGTACATGCCCAGGCTTCAAGAGGAGAGGGTGCCCTGGTGGGCTACAGCACAGGGTTTACCAGGGCAGGGTGTGGAGGGTGGTGGGACCAGGTCTTGCAAAAGTGTGTGTGCTGGATGAAGGATCTGGGTGTTCACCCTGAAGCCAAGAGAGGAGAGCAACTTCAGCATGAATTTGGGGAGGGAGGAGAGTGACACGCGCAGAGCCTTGGTTTAGAAAAACTGTCCCGACGTTTCTACCCTGGGCTGTCTGGCTGGTTGTAACCACACCCTCTGTCAACAGAGGGCAGGGGCATTAAACAGGAGATGGGGACACCAGCCAGGAGGCTGTTGCGTGGTGAAAAATTGGTCCCCCAGGGCTGGGTCCAGAGTGTGACATGCCTTGTTTGATGGCCAATGAATAAACAGACAGAATGTCATGTAGCCATACAATAGAATATTATTTACTACCACCAACAAAAAGATACAAAGTTCTGATATAGGCCAAACCAAAGATAACCCCCAAAACAGTACACTAAGTGAAAGAAGCCAGTCACAAAAGACCATGTATGGTATTATTTCATTTATATAAAATGTCCAGAATAGGCAAATCTATTTTATAGAGTAGTAATTGTCTAGGCTGGGGGGGATGGGAGTAGAATGAGGGATGACCACTAAGGGGAGCACTGTTTCTTACTGGGATGAGGTAAATGTTCTCAAAATTAGATTCTGGTGACGTTTGCACAACTCTGTACTGTATGCATTTAATAAATGAACAATACGGAATCTAAGCAAATTGAGTCATTTTGTAGCATTTAAAAATGGCAATTCATAGAAAATTCAGACATTCAGCTTATCTTGGGGAGAAAAATGAGAGAGGATGAGAGAGAGGAAGAGAGAATGAGACAGGGAGAAAGAATGAGAGAGAAAGAGCGAGAATAAGACAGAAAGAGAGAATGAGACAGAGACAGAGAATGAGGGAAAGAGTGAGAATAAGAGAGAGAAAGAAGAGAAAGAGAATGAGACAGACTGAGAGAGAAAGAGAATGAGAAAGAAAATGAAAGAATGAGAGAGAATGAGAAAGGGAGAATGAAAGAGAGAATGAGAGAAAGAGAATAAGAGAGAGAGTGAGAAAGAAAATGAGGGTGAGACAGACTGAGAGAACAAGAGAGAATGAAAGAATGAGAGAGAATGAGAAAGAGAACAAGTGAGAATGAGACAGATATGAGAGAGAGTGAGAGAGAGAATGAAAGACAGAATGAGAAAGAGACTCAGAGAGAGAATGAGACAGAAAGAATGAGAGAGAAAGAGACAATGAGAGAGAAGAAGAAAGAGAGACAGAGAGAGGTGGAGATGTGACAACTCTGCAACCCTACATCCATGGCCACCCTCAGTGGAACTGGGTGTCAGCATGACCCGTCTAGTTTACCACAGCCCCCAACGCAGCCTACTCCACCACAGCACTGGTTCCTGTGGCTGTCTGAACTTGTGAGTCCCCAGCTAAAGCAAGCATAGAAAACAAAATGTTCAGCGTCAACATTTTGGTCCTACAATGGGCCTAGACCGCTGGGCGTGCCTCTGTAAACAGTCCTTGCACTTACAGGCAAGGTGAAATAAAACTGGAACCAATGGAAGTTTATTTTCACAGAGCACCCACTTGAGTGATTTGAGCAGCTTTTCTACATGCCAAGAACCAAAGCCTTTTTTTTTTAAAATTTACTGGTCTCTCTGCCTCAACCTCCCAAGTAACTGGGATTATAGGCACCTGCCACCACGCCCAGCTAGTTTTTGTAAATTTAGTGGAGACGGTGTTTCACCAGTTTGGCCAGGCTGGTCTCGAACTCCTGACCTCAGATGATCCATCCCAAAGTGCTGGGATTACAGGTGTGAGCCACCGCGCTCGGCCCCTGCAGTGTTTTTAGCTCTGAGAAGGTACATCTGAGCAGTGGGCATGGAAGCCTCAGAGGACTTGCTCCAATTTCTGCCGGGAGGAAGAAGAGGTAGGAAGTGATTCTCCCGCTGCAGAATTTGTCCCGTGGCCCCCTGAAGGCCCAAGAATTCCATTACAGATCTTCTCTGGTTGGGAGAAAAAGAGGAGGTTGTGGTAACTAAGGGAAGCCAAAGACACGAGTTAGGGAAGCTTGCTCATTAAAGCAGCACGTGGTCTTTGAATATTTGCTATGTGCTAGTGCACCACGTGATTTAAAAATCTAACTTGGTACCCAAAAGAGATTTCCCATAGTCACTCAGGAGCACATAACATTCTCATCTCTTTCCTCTCTCCCTGCTTTCTGTATTTTCCTTCCTTCTTCCTCCTTTCTTTCTCCCTTCTTCCCTCCCTTCTTTTTTTTTTTTTTTTTTTTGGGACGGAGTTTCGCTCTTGTTACCCAGGCTGGAGTGCAATGGCGCAATCTCGGCTCACCACAACCTCCGCCTCCTGGGTTCAGGCAATTCTCCTGCCTCAGCCTCCTGAGTAGCTGGGATTACAGGCACGCGCCACCATGCCCAGCTGATTTTTTGTAGTTTTAGTAGAGACGGGGTTTCACCATGTTGACCAGGATGGTCTCGATCTCTTGACCTCGTGATCCACCCGCCTCGGCCTCCCAAAGTGCTGGGATTACAGGCGTGAGCCACTGCGCCCGGCCTTCCCTCCCTTCTTTTCCTCCCTCGTTCCTCCCTTCCTTCCCTCTCTCCATTCACTTATTCATTCAATATTTATTTAGTGTCCAACTGCGAGAGTTGCTAGAGACACAACATGGAAAAAAACATAAAAATCCCTACCTTTGTTAAGCTTAAATTTTAGTGGGAAAACCACAGTAAGATAAAGAAGCACATTATATGACATATTAGATGCTGCACATTATATAATAGATTAGGTAGAACTGCTAGGTGACGTGGTGTGCGTGTGTGGATTTATTTTTATTTTACTAATTATGCATTTATTTTTCAGTTGATGTTTAGAGATATGTATCCATTATGGATTGACTAAATCAAGCTAATGAACATGTTCATTACTTCCCATGCTTATTTTCTGTGGTGAGAAAATTTAAAATTCTTAGCAGTTACGGAGTATACAGTACACGGTTCCAAGGTACAATTACCTTGCTGAATGCATTCCTCCTGTCTGCTTGGAATTTTGAATCCTCTAACCAATGTCTTTCCATTACCCTACCTCTACCCCCAGACCCTGGTAACCACCATTCCACTCTCTGCTTCTTCGAGTTTAACTTTTTTAGATTCCACATGTAAGGGAGATCATGCAGTATTTGTCTTTCTGTGCCTGGCTTATTTCGCTTAGCATATATCCTCCGGGTCCTGCCATGTTGCTGCAAATGACAGAATTTTATTCTTTCTCCTGGCTGAATATAGTATTTCATTGTGTATGTCCACCACATTTTCTTCACCCATTCATCCGTTGATGAACACTTGGTTGATTCCATATCTTGGCTATTGTGAATAGTGTTGCAATGGCAGTGAGAGTGCAGATGTCTCTTCAATCAACTGATTTCAAATCTTTTGGGTAAATATCCATAAGCGGAATTGCAGGATCAAACGCTAGTTTTATTTGTAATTTTTAAAGGAACATCATACAGTTTTCCATGAAGGCTGTGCGAATTTACATTCCCACCAACAGCTTCTCTTTTTGATAACAGCCATTCTGACAGGTGTGAGATGATGGCTCATTGTAGTTTTAATTGCATTTTCCTGATGCAATGGCCAGGATGGTCTCAATCTCTTGACCTTGTGATCCACCCACTTTGGCATCCCAAAGTACTGGAATTAGAGGGATGAGCCACTGTGCCCGGCCCCTTGCTCATTTTTAAATTAAATTATTTGTTTTCTTGTTACTGGTTGCCTGAGCTTCTTATACACTTTGAATGTTAGCCCCTTATTGGGTGTGTGGATTACAAATATTTTCTCCCAATCTGTAGACTGTTTCTTCACATTGTTAATTGTTTCCTTCACTATGCAGAAATTTTTAAGTTTGATGTAATTTATTTGTCTATTTTCTGCTTTTGAGTCAATTCTAAAAAATTATCGCCAAACCTAATGTTATGCAGTTTTCCCCATATGTTTTCTTTTTATAGTTTTATATTATAAGTGTTACATTTAAGTATTCAATCCATTTTGAGTTGATGTGTGTATATGGTATAAGAAAAGAGTCCAATTTAATTCCTTTGCATGTGGACTTACAATTTTCTTAGCACGATTTTCTGAAGACACTATCCTTTTACCATTATGTATTCTTGGCATTTTATCAAAAATTAATTAACTGTACATGTACAGATTTATTTCTGGGCTATTTTGGTCCATTGGTCAACATGTTTATTTTTATGCCAGTACCCTGATGTTTTAGTTACTATAGCTTTGTAATATAATTTAAAATCATGTAGTGTAATGCCTCTAGCTTTGTTCTGTTTGCTGATGATTTCTTTGGCTATTTGGGTTTTTCTGTTGTTTCATATGAAATTTTAGGATTGTTCTTTTCTATTCTGTGAAACATGACATTGGAATTTTGATAGGATTGCACTGTTTTGTAGACCACGTTCGGTATAAGAGACATTTTCATGGCATTAATTTTTTTAATCCATGAGCACTGGATAGCTTTCTATTTATTTGTATCTTCTTTAATTTGTTTTATAAATGTTTTGTTTTCAGTGAACAGATCTTTGACCTCTAGTTAAAATTATTTCTAAATATTGTTTGTGTGTAGTTATTGTAAATGGTATTTCTCTTTTTTTGAGTAGTTTACTGTTAGTGTATAGAAATGCTACTGATTTCTTTTTCCTTTCTTTTCTTTTCTTTTTTCTTTTTTTGAGACCGACTCTCACTCCGTCACCCAGCCTGAAGTACAGTGGTGCAACCTCAGCTCACTGCAACCTCTGCCTCTGATGTTGGGTGGGCCTTCTATCTGGGTTCCCCTATCTGGAGAGATCATTGGCTGGGCTTTTGCTATTCGTTGTTGGCTGGGTACTGAAATAGCCTCTGGTCAGGCTAGTTGAAGGATATATTCCCTGGTTGGGTAGTTCTGCTCTTTGGAATTTGCAGTTGGATAAAGTCTGCAAGCTGGGCTCTGAGGTTAGGTGAGGGTGCTGCTGAAGATGGGTGGGATCAGAGACTATGCTCTTTAGAAATGCACAATTGAAGACTGCCTACCGATGTGGACAAAGCAATAGGGTAGGCTTTTGATTGAGTTGAGCTGCTGTTTGATCTCCTGGGTTGAGCAGGTGTAGTCCCTGTACTTCTCTAAAATGGGCAAAGGTGAACATCTCCCTGCCTGGGCTTGACGTGGCTTTTTGGCTAAACTGAGTCACTCTTTGGACTCTCACGCCAAATAGATTGGCTGGGTGTAGAGTTGCCATCTAGGGACTCAGACCAAGTTGAACTTTCCACCATGCTTCTGAAAGTGACCAGTTCAGCTTTCTGAGTGGACTGTGCAGTTGGCTGGTATCTTCAACTGGGCACCAAAACTAGGAGAAACACAGAGTTATGACGAATAGCTACACACTGCCACTGTGACCTCTGTTTCCTTTCTTTGTTTTTACCTGACCCTTGGAGGTCTAGCCATGCTATTACCTCCAGTGAGGTAAGACCAGAGTGGTCTTCCTGGGAAGCATTCAAGTGCCAGGGAAGCTGATGACTGCCTCTAGTTCATTTTCCCTCATGTAGACACCACAGGCCTTGGGGGACTTTTGTCTTCTGACATTGTGCCCACTTGGTAGGGGGAAATAAATATCATTTGCTTAATATTGTCTCCCATTTGATGAGTGGTCTTTTTATG